TATATTAGGTGCCAAGACAGCCACAGGATGCAACAGAAGCAGAAACAGAAAGACATTGTTTAGCCCACTAAGCACAGAAACAAAAGCAAAGGAGAGAAGGGCTCTGGGAAAGTGACTTGAGCATTAAACAAATGAGAACCCGGAGGCACTTAGCCAGGATGACTCATTCCCCAATCTTCCTTAAGATAAAGCCATCTAAGCATAGCCTGGAATAGAATCTATTAAGCTCTGGACTCTCACTAGTTACTTCTATTTAGATGATGAATTATGCAAAGCAGGATTGATCACTCTTGAAGCTATGAAGAGAAATAAAACAAGATGAACATGGAAAAAAGAAAAGGTGAGAAATGATGCACAAAATGTGGTCATTCAAATATAGTTACACCCAAACGGGAAAGTTTAGTACATATTCTCTAGGGACTCCATCATCTTTTGTTCATTCAGCTTGTGAAGTGACTAGACTTTGACAGGCATTACTTTATATAGCTTGACAGTACACATACTACTGTGATAAACCCTTGTTTGCCTTCTCTAGAAATGTTCTCTCAATACTTCCTAGATACACAATGTTCCTGTGGGTCAGTTGAACATTAAACCTTGTCTTCTTATTGAACAAGACAATGGGATAAGTTTTGTATTTTTACATCTTTAATGTTATGAATGGAATTTTTAACTGCAGGTAGTGAATTTCATGATTTACAAATGGTTTTTGAATAGTGGTAAACATTTATGCAAAATTTTTTTTTAAGTAGTCAAAATGTTCTTTTTTTTATTTATTTCAACCATTTCTGGCTTCTGGCCCAAGAGCCCAAGAGCCTCACTGTTTCTCATACACCAGCTGTGCTTCCAGCCTGCATCTTGCAACCATAATCTAGGGAAAACTTTTGAGGAGATAGAACCTGGAAACTTCCTTTGCAGGTGCTTTAGCTCCTACCTCCTCAGCAGTCACTGAAGATGAGGGAAAAATAATTCTCCTACCAAAGTCCTTGGTATTGTCAAATGATTCAGCAGAACAAAAGAAAAAGAATATGGCATTATTAATAGGGTGATATTAAAGAAAACTGTTACCATCTGTTCTGCTGTTATACCCTAAGGATCACAGGACCTTGCCATATGGCTTAGAGCCAAAATCTCATATATGTGTTATATCCCCCTTTTAGAATGTGAGCTCCATAAGAGTAGAGACTATCTTTCTTTTCCTTTTGTATTCCCAGTGCTCGGTATAGTTTTGTTTTGTTTTGTTTTGTTTTGCATAGAGTAAGTACCTGAACCTTTTTTTTTCAATTTTTCATTAATTCATTCAGAGGGATGATTATAAAACACAAAATAGAATAGGGAAAAAGACTTGGAACTCAATAAGAAGAAGGAAATTATTTCTAGATGATTTGGGGGCTTAGAATCATTTGGGTGGCTTTTGAAGATGAGACTAAATTTGTAGGGAAGAGATTTGAACCCTTGGAAAGAAACATATGACATATATTCCTATTAGACTTGAAGAATGTATCACAACTGATTTTATTAGTAGCAATCTGTTACCGAATTCTATTTTAACTGTTCTGATTATTATTTAGCATTCTGTTTTCTGTGTGGGAATAAAACATCTTGTTTCATATATGACTTACATTTTATTATGGTTCCATTTTTGCTTCCCCCTCCCCAACCCTTGCTGAGAAGCAATCTTATACTAGAAGCCAAAAGGCAACTGTCCTTGGAGTAGTCAAAATGAATATATGAGCCAATGAATGTGAGAGGGGAAGTCTACTTCCCCTAATGAGAGCTTAGTTTCTCCAAGCTGAATCTGGATAAGCCTAGATCTCAAGTAAAGGACAAGGATAGACACAGGGCCTTTATTCCTACCTATGGTTCAAACTTTTCATGAAGATATGAAGTAAAGACTTGGGTGTATATTAAGATAGTGCTGTATGATCTAGCTAACCCATTCTGACCCTGTAGATTCTGGGCAACTTAAATTTCAGAGGCACCATTTTCTACTGGCAGGATGGAGATGAGCAATACCCACAACTGAGGAAAATACTTTTCACTCCTCTTCTTCTACATTTTCCTTTTCTTTCATATTCTTCTATTCTCAGATTATTTTAAAAAGAACTGTGACATGAAAGCAGTCACGGGACAAACATCATGGGAAAGATATGTTGAGGGTGTTACAGAATAGGGGATCATTGCAAGTCAGATTGGCTCATTATGTGTTTTTTAAATGTTAATATTTCCCTCTGGTCTTATATCCTCTTTTCACCCTCACTCTCCATAAAATTACAGATATATTAGGTGAAAAGTATCTATCAGCCTATTCTAGTCCCTTACACCAAAGATAAACTATTTTCTTGATTATCATATGAACTCTTTGACAACAGGGCCTTTTTTTTTTTAAATCTGCCTTTGTATCCCCAGTGCTTAGCACAGTTCTTGGCACAGAGAAGGTATTTAATAAATGCTACTTGCTTGATTATATAGATTAGTTTAATTCATTAATTTGTTTAAATTTCTAAGTCACTACTTTTTAAAGGGTTAAAATAATTGTAATATGCAAAATTATAAAGAAACTTTACAAGGGTTTTTTTTAAGTAATAGCCCCAAAATAAATAGTTATGGATTTGTAGAGTTGGTTAGGAAGGAAGCTAGGTGATACAGTGGATAGACCACGGGTCCAGCAGTCAGGATAGACCTGAGCTCAAATCTGAACTCATATATTTACTTGCTGTGAGAGCCTGAGCAAGTCACCTCTGTTTACTTCAGTTTCCTCAACCATAAAAAAAGAGATAATAGTAGCAACTCTCTTCCACAGTTGTTGTGAGGATGAAATGATATAATATTTGTAAAGCACTTAGCACAGTACCCATTACATAACGGGTGCTTAATAAATGCTTGAGTCCTTCCTTTTCTACATAAGTGTAAAGCAAAAGGTTACATTGTATTTCAATGTTTTCACTGTTTCATTAGCATAAAACAAAGTGTTATTTCTTTAAAAGGGGGGGGAGTAATTCATAAACTACTAAAACTACTGAGATGCATGGTAATATCTACTTTTATTTGGGAATTTTTAAAGCAAAAATTAGAAACAAAATGTATATAATTGTCCAGGTTCACCTTGCCTAGTTTGACAAATTAAGGGGAGGTCAATCAGCCTTTGCCTTGCTCTTAGCCAACTTATTTCTTTGCCAAAGAAAAGTGGAGCCAATATGCAGGTGGCAGTAATTAAAATAACTTAATTTTGACTTTTACTGTACCCAACTGATCTATCTCTAATGTCTGTTAAGATCCTGAACATGAATGTAAGGAAATGTTGCATTAACTAGCTACTATAAAGCAATAAATAGTATTTCTCAAGGGGAAAATGCATATATTCATACAGTAATTGATTATATACGTGGGCTTCAGGTGTGATTTTATGTTGCAGAATTCTCAAAATCATCCCTGTTCCATGTGCAAAGTAGCATTTCTTATATATCTAGAACTATAATGAAAAATTAATATTTGTAATTTGGAAGAAGCTGGAGCTGTACAAGAGACCTCAGAAGTCCTCTAAAATTCTCTTCCAATTCTAAGATACTATAGTTCTCTGCTAGAAGTTTTCCTGTTGACTACACCCTAAGGATTCACACTCAGCTGGAAGTACATGGCTGAGAAAATTTGATTGAGAATAAGGAGGTTTGGGTTCCATTCTCAGCTCTCTCACTACTTGGACATGTAAACTTTGGTCTAAGTATTTGATTGCTCGGGGTCTCCATTTCCTCCTTCTCTGAGTATCACTCACTACTCTCTATTCCATGTTTCATCTATCATCCAGTTGTCCACTCCAGCCATTTGAGACCTGCTTTGCTTCTCCTCATCCAAACCAGCACCCACAACACTGGACCTCCAAAATCCATATGCTCCCAGTCTGTGAAGAAGATAACCCACTCAGTTTTGTAACTCCCTAAGGCTCAGCATTTTGAATGAGGTCTGAGTGAGTGTAAACTCACCTAAGTCACTATATCTATTCAGTTCCAGCCTGGCAGATGATACCTCATATTGAATGCTGCCATCTATCCAGGCTCTCTAGCTATCTGAAAAGACTTCAAAGAGATACTTACTCTCCTCAAAATCACTAACTGTATGTAATGTTATTACTAGGCCATATCTTGAAACTAAAATATTATATTGGCATTCTTATGTGGCCAGATAATTTTTACAAAATTATTTTTTTAATTTTTTTCAGAATGAATCAGAAGTCAGAAAACAATTGGCTTAGCTCAGCCAACAGACAGCAGTGTCACTTTGGGCAAGCTATTTAATTTTTATGGGTCCTTTGTTTCCTCATCTAAAATATATGTATATTGGATTAGATGATCTCTAAGTCCCTTTCAGTGCTAGCTTAATATTAAATATTAACATTATTCTACCTATAAGAGGTCAAAATATTGAAGTTATAAAAATCAGTCTTCAAAGTTTTAATATCACTGGTCATATGATCAGTCTTTTCAAGTTAGGAAGACTGACCCCAGTTAAAAATTGACCCCAAACATTTACTAGCTATTTGACCTTTGGGCACATTACTTAAGCTTTAAGCCTTAGTTTTCTCATCTGTAAAATAGGGATAAGAATAGCACCTACCTCCCAGAGTTGTAAGAATGAAATGAGATAAAATTTGAAAAGTTCTTAACATAGTTCCTGAAACAAAGTAAGGACTATATAAATGTTAGCCATTATTATTAATATCTATATTGGATATATGGCCATAATTATAAGGAAGGCATTCATTAACTCCAACTCAAAGATTCAATAAGGATGAAAGCTTCTAAATCACTTGTAATAAATTTAATATTAAATGATTTGAATTCCTTTTGCCTAAGATTGTTAACACTGCCAATCAGGGCAATTATTGCACATAGTCATATATAAAAGTTGCAATATAAAGAATAGTCATTCAATATGCTCCTTGTCAATAAAATGAATCAGAAATACACATCTTACTGAATTCAGTAGAACATCAGCTCCTTGATAGCAGGGTATGTGCCTTTTTTTTTTTAAACTTTCTATCCTCAGTGCCTGGCACAATGTCTTGTAAACTGTAAATGCTTAGTATTTTTTTTTGCACTAATGAATAAACATAACAAATAAATCCTCAATGCTGCTAAAAGTAACTGGGCTAATAACATCCTTGGTGAATCCTCATTGAGTCTTTTGGCTCAGCTCTCATTCAGCAAATGAAGGTCAGAGGAGGGAAACAAAGTTATCTTCTTTAACCAATTAACAAGATATGAAGAAGCCTAAAATTTGTTTTGTATGAATATTACCACTGAAGTTGATACCACTGGCTCTGAAATAAACTCCTTTTTAAAAATAAATTAACAGTAGAGAAAACATATAATATTTCAAAAAGCTGTTGGGGTAGAGGACAATTCCTGCACAAATTAGAGAAAGTTATGCTAAAAAGCTCTGTGTGAGTGTATACATACACATATATATACATCTATAATTTCTTCAAAGGAGAGCTTCTTAACTTGCAATTTGTGAATAGATTTCAGAAAATCCATGAATGTTGATGGGGAAAAATTGTCTTTATTTTGACTGACATTTAATTGAAATTTAATGGTTCCTTCAATTAGGAATGTAGGAAAGAAAACATAATTCTGAGAAGAGATCCATAGGCTTTATCAGACTGCCAAAGATGTTCATGAAACAAACACCAAAAGAAGGTTAAGAACCCATGCTTCAGATGTTCTTTTCTTCTTATTCTCAATTGTTATGTACATTGTTAAGCAAAAGGAGCCCTGAAATATCATTTTTTTAATGTTTTCAATAACCAGTTCTACTTTTTCTTTCTATGGAATCATTTCTGTCAGAAGTGATTTTGTCAGCCTTAACACAGATTTTAGTTACAAAAAAAAATACAAATTAAAATTCTAAGTAGCTTGCTATAAAATAGTGCTCTTGTAAAATTAATTAATTTTAAAACTCTTATTTTATAAAGCAATTTTTGTCTAATACCTGAGTTGTAATAAGGGATAGTGTCCAGGAGATGGTGCACTCTTACCCTGTCATGATTAACCTTGGGTCTTGAAACCTTGAAAGCTTAAGTTTAAAAAGAAAGATATAAAAAAGCATATTGAAAAACATGTCCCTAATATCCCCCAAAAATTGTTAGTATGAATGGAAAATAATTAAATTATAAAATGTTGGTGCTGAGAAAATGAAATGTCTTGATTTTTCTCACGTCACTGAGAATTACTCTCTTTGGCATAGAAATAAAACTTTTGAAACACTATTACTTAGTGGAAAAAAAATGAAAGAGAGATGAAGAAGTAAAAAATTATTATAATTCTTCAGAATGACTTTAACAATTATCCAACTCATAGTAAACATTTAACTTGCAACCATTTACAATACACTGGATAGCTTCTCAACTACAAAAGTATTGTAAAGACAAAACTACCTTTCACCAAAATAAATTTCAATTTTACAGTTCTGTTTTTTACAAAGCAACTTTGTCACAGAAAATCATTTAGAAAAAAAAACAGCTTTTCCTAATTATTGCTAATAAGTGGTTTTCAATATTTCACTTTAGAAACACAACATTTCTTAATACAGGGTCATACAAGGCACACATCATTGTCAAATGCTTCTTTCTTTAAAAGTAATTTGGGGAAGTCTGGTCAAATCGAGAACACTATTATACTGCTTGAGGAAAAAAATATTTAGGAGGACAGATATGTCACAGCATTTGCAACACTTGCATGATTCCCAAAATGTTCCATAAAAAAGGGAAAAATTATTGATTTTCCTGATTTAATCTGGAATAGAGTCCACTACTGGTCACTGAGCCTTTGCTGGTAAAGTAAGAGGCATCCCTGATCATTCCTGAAAATGAATAGTCTATAGCTGGCCGGAAAGGCAAAGCTGGAACCAGACCAGATGTTAAGTAGGGGGACATAAAGCCAGACAATGCTCTTCCTGGAGAGGAATATGATAGGCATAATGGACTGATACCTAGCCTAGGATTTATGCTATAGAGATTTGGATCACCACCAAATGAAGTGGAATTAGTGTGCAAAGGAGAAAAGGCTGATTTATTCCCTAGTGTTCCTATACCTAGCCCAGCTAGGCTAAAATTAGTTCTTTGCAAAGCTGTCAATTCAGCTCCCACTGAGTTTGCAAGGTCAACAGTATCTTGTTTATGTTCTTTTCCATTCAGGACTTGTTCTATCGCTTGGACTACATCTCCTTTGCAATACTTCAGAATACTTTCTAGTCGACTGGGTTTGTAATTTGGGAACACCTTAGTAAGAATATCAAGTGGGTCTCTTGGTCTGGAAGAAATTGTGGGAAGACTGGACCTAGCAGCAGCAAAGTCTTTGGCCCATTCACTTTCATTTCCTGATTCCATATCAGAGGATGACAAAGATCTAGGACTCTCTGTACCTTCTGACTGCTCCTCAGGGTGAGGGGACTGAATGTTTTCCTCCTTGTCTGAGTTTTCTGACCCAGATGGCTTCTCTTCATCATCTCCATTAGCACCAATAGACTCAGGAGATCGCAAGGAAAGCTGATGTGAGGTGATTATTGAACTATCTAGACTACCGTAGTATGAGCCAACTTTCTGAACCTTTGAATCTGAAAGGAAGAAAAAATCAATTAAGTATAAATTTTTCTAGTATGTATTCAAACCAGCTAGTAATTATGCTTAAAACCAGTCCATACATTGTATATTTACAGTATCTCTTTACAATAAGCAGTTTCATTTCTATCTCACTGTAATATCCTTTTTGAAGGGGAAAAAAGGAAAAGAAAACTATTTTTAAAAACTTCACAAAGTTTTTTTTTGGTTCATAAGACCAAAAGTTTCACAATTCATATTAACAAAATAAATGTTCAAAATATATAAAGTCTGCTACCACCTGAAATATTTTTTTCTTTTATCTATGGTTTTGAATAGCAATAAAAGCCATTGAAGTTGTCACAGAAAGATCCTTTATTATCACATAATAAAAATAAAACAAAATGAAATTATTAAAATTAAGTCACAAGCTAGAAGAAGCTACATTTTTTTTGGCTTGAGAAAATCTGCCCACTAAGATTAAAACTTCAACATTGAATATTTATTGCATACTCTCAAATTTTATTTTGTATATTTTTTCCAGGACTTGTAATTTCATAGGTGTGGGAAACTCTTGGCAAAGGAATTCCTATACTAATACAGCTCTGTACCTTCTCTTCAATTTATAATCTTGGAAAGTTCATTTTAACACAAAGAGTTTAAATGAACTGCCCAGGGTCACCTAGTATGTGGCAGAGACAAAACCTACACCCAAAGGAGTCCAGTTCTCTATCCACTATGCCATGCTACCTCTCCAGCAATGTATATATGGGAATGTACAGTGAAAAAGTATGTAGGAAAATGAGGAAATATAACTACAATTCAACGATGGGCTTTTAAGACATCATTAATCAAAGATGTAATGGATTTGTACTGGAAGTATGTGATATTTCCTCATTATTGATGAATATATGCAAATCTGCTTTTCTAAGAGCTAATTTCCTCTAATATTCTTTTGAAATAAATTGTTTACAAATATTATCCAAGAAAATTATAATAAAATGGCAGTACTCTGAGTCTATAAACCTTCTTTTTAGATCTAAAATCATTACTGAGATGTTTATTTTCAAAACAAAACAAAACTTCATTTGGTTAATAGCAAAATCAGAAAAGTTTTTCTGTCACAAGTTGAAAGTTAATATCATAAATACTTAGAAATCAATAGTACCAAAATAATTTCATTTAGAGGGAAATAATTGAGAACCTGTAACAACAAAACATATTATTTAGCTATGTTAAATTATTTTTATTTTAATTTCTAATTAATCTACAAAAATGTTTCAATCATATTTCCATGCAAAACGGCAAAATAATAGAAATATTCTGGACGCATATTTGGTTTGTTGTCCTGAAAATTGTATGATTTAATCTTGCCTGGCTTGTGAATACTATGCACTGAAATTCTGTCATTGTCTAAAGCAATGGTTCCCACTCTTAGTTTTGCCACAGTCCAAGTGATTCCAGTTTTCTCAAAGGGGTATTCCTAACTAAAAAATAAAACAAAATAAACTCAGTTGTAATTTTTAAAAATGTCTGGACATGGGTCAAGAAGTTGAACAAAGAACTGTGAAAAAGAAAGACTAAATGGCATTTTGACTTCAAAAATAATCTCAGAAATGTATTATCTACAATGCCTACAATTTTAGTTTAATAATAAGCTTTAAAAATTACTCATGAAGTGATATTAAGATTAACATTATTCTGTGCTGCATACTTTCTTATAGTGAGATTAAATTTGCACCCAGTAAAAATTAAAACTTTTAATTTCTTTATCCCTGTAATAATTGATTTTGTATAAAAACACTGTAAAGGAACTCTTTTTAGCCACTTGTGAAATATATTTCTTTTAAAATGACAAGTGAAAAGTGGGATGTGGTTTTTTTTTGCAATTATAATTAGTAGGCCTCATTCCTTTTAATTTTTTCATTCCACTAATAACAATTACCATGTTACCTTGTCTTTGTTACTTGTATACATGTTTTCTTGCTTATTTGATTATACAAATCTTTGAGGGCAAATGTAATATCTTATGCATCTTTTTTTTTACTCTCCCACAGTCCCTTGTACCTTGCACTTAGTACCTCTTAGTACCTTGTATTGAGTACTTTGTAGGTCCTCAATAATAGATATCTAAATATAGTCCCTGGATAAATTATTTAACTAATATAAAAACCCTCAAAGCTTATTCTTTTTCTAAAAAAAAAAAGTTGGCTTTTAAAAGTAAATTGAGGTTGCACCAAATATCTAATTACATAGAACAACCAAACAAAACTGTGGTTCATTAAAGCAGTAGTCTACAAAGTGAGAGCCTCCCACTCCACACTTATCTCCCACCCCCTACCCCTCATACACCCCAATCTGGGAGCTTTGGGGCCGAGGTCCTTTACTTGGTTCCCTGGCCTTGTGTTTTGTTATTGTTGTTATTTTGATAACTGGATCTCATCACAGTAGGTTTTCTGCAATTCTATGGATTTTGTTATACATTTTAAAAACTTTATTCTTAGAAGGAATCCATAGATCTCATCAGGCTGACAAAGGAGTCCATGGAAGGAAGGAAAGGGGGGGGGAGAGAGAGAGGAAGGAAGGAAGGAAGGAAGGAAGGAAGGAAGGAAGGAAGGAAGGAAGGAAGGAAGGAAGGAAGGAAAGAAGGAAGGAAGGAAGAAAAGAAGGAAGGAAGAAAGAGAGAGAGAAAGAAAGAAAGAAAGAAAGAAAGAAAGAAAGAAAGAAAGAAAGAAAGAAAGAAAAAGAAAGAAAGAAAGAAAAGAAGGAAGGAAGGAAGGGAGAGAGAGAGAGAGAGGGAGAGAGAGAGAGAGAGAGAGAGAGAGAGAGAGAGAGAGAGAGAGAGAGAGAAAGAAACCCTGCAACCCTGATCACAGTAATGGGTAAAATAATCACCAATAAAGAAGTATAGAATATAATCCTAGGGCCTCATTCATCCTAACAGGTCTAGTTTACAGGCGGGAGCTCTCTCTGGCCATCAATTGTAGGAAAAGGATAGTCCATCTGTTGTTCCTCTCTCCTTACCTCCCTCTAAGGGCTAGGAAGTGGTGGTGGTGGGGATAGATGCATGCTAAAAAGCAAGTGGGGGCCAGGTTGGGCAGCTGGGGATTGCAGCACCCCATCTGGAGAGAATTTGTTAGGCCTAGCCATGGAGCCTGAACCAGTATTGGCAGCAGCCAAAAGAAGAAGATATGACAGAGTCATAAGCAACACCCCTCAGAAGACAAGGGCCAGAGTGGTTTTACAGGCCCATGAGTTGGCAAGTGACCTTGGGGCCACTGGACATTTCCTTTCATGTCACCCATGTTCCTCCAACTTCTAGGCATTTATTGTGGCTAGGAAAAATTGAAGCTGAGAAAAGGTGCTGTGTAGGGAATGTTGACGGAGACAAAGGCAGTAGTGGGCTCATAGGCCTGGTGAAAGGCAACAATTAGCAAGCATTTACAAATTATCTACCATGTCTTGGGCACTGTGCTAGGTATTGAGGATACAAAGACAAAACTGAAAAAAGCCATGCCCTCAAGGATCCAACCTTTCAGCAAAAGAGATAATGAGTAAAAATATAGGCATCGATAAAAAAGATACAATAATTTGGGGAAGAGACACTAGCATCTGAGTTGATCAGGAAGGGCCTCATATAGAAGTGGCACTTGATCTAAGCCTTGAAGGAACTCAAAGAGGAATTCTAGGCCTGGAGGACAGCCAATGAAGAGGCTGAGATGTAAGATGGAGTATCCTGTTGAGGAAACAATTAGAAAGCTAGTATGACTGGTGAGAAAAGTGTGTGAAGGGGAACAATAAGGCTGGAAAGATAGTTGGTTTTGACCAAGTTGAGAAAGGCTTTAAATACCAAACAGAGGGCAATGATGTAGACAGAACTTTATAAAGAAGAGAATAATGAAATAAACTGCAAAAGAAAGATTATTGAAATTCATTAAGATTTAAAAAAATAATCAAACAATTCTCCTTGTACACTAAACCCAGTGATATGTCAATAGTCAAATAGAGATGATACTTAAACATAGGTCTTCCCTTTTACATATGGAATTTATATCATGACACCTGATAATGAAGTAGGAGAAAACTAGATCAGTTCTTTTTTTCTAATTATGACGGATATCAAGATCTTGAGAAAGAGGCAGAAGATGATGGCAAAAAAAAAAAAGACAGACAGGACAGACGTCAGTGGCTTTTCACAGTTTCATTTTGTGGAGAAAATTAATGGAATACTACAGTTTCACCTCCAATACCAATCTCAGCCCCCTGGTCTGTGAGTCATTGGGCTGAGCATAACTCCACTGCAGCAAGCAAACAAAACAAACAAATAAAAATTAAAAAGTATCAAGGGACTGGATGCACAAATGACTGGAGTATATGAGATGTTGAGGAAGAACTAGTACCTCTGATGGCTGGCTGAACCTTTTTCAGGGCTGCTCTTTGGTGCCCATCTATCTCACCAGTGGCTTCAGTAGCATGTACAGCTACCACAAGCTGGTAAAATCATCTCAGCAAATGGGCCAAATTAGGTTGAAGATAACTGAGAGATCTTAAACCCACTGGTAAATTGAAGGGATGACAATCCTAAGCACATGAAAACTTCTCCACCCCACTCCCCCTGGCAGAATGGGCAAATGAGAACAAGTTGTTCCAATGGCCTTGGCCATGAAGGAAGCAAAAACTGGTGCTGTGAAGTACTGAGAGCTTGGTCAGACATCAAAGATGCCAAGGTCATCCAATGTATCCTGAGCCATGGCCAGTCATCTTGACTTTTGTCTTGTCACTGTACTTCGATGATTATGAAAGAGTGTGACTGACAAATTTATGTAACTCTACTCACTTAAATCTAATTCATGCACAAGTCAAGACATCACCCCATGCTGCTATTGGTCCTCTTTGAAAACAAAGGACAAACAACACAAATGATCTGGCCTTTACAGGAAAGGAGGGGAGAAAAACATATACTGACTACTATATTACAGTCACTGTGCTAAGCACTTCACAAATATTATCTCATTTCTCCACAACCACTCTGGGAGGTAGGTGCTATTATTATCCCTATTTTACAGTTGAGGAAACTGAGGCAGACAGAGATCAAGTAACTTGCCTAAGGTCACACAACTAGTTAACTGTTTGAAGTCAAATTTGAACTCAGATCTTCTTAACTCCAGGCCCAGAACTCTATCTACTATCAAACTAGCTGCCTCATCACTGATATAATATAGTTATATAGTGCCCCGAGTAAAGATAGACGTGGGCCATGTTCTTTGTAGGCTTGTCAGAAAATGGCTCCTTGGGGCAACTAGATGGTGCAGTGGATAAAGCACCAGCCTTGGATTCAGGAAGACCTGAGTTCAAATTTGACTTCAGACATTTGACACTTACTAGCTGTGAGATCCTGGGCAAGTGACTTCACCCCATTGCCTCTCAAAAAGAAATGGCTCCCTCCTCTGCAGCAAACTGGGGACCACTGGAATGAAGAATTGCTGCTAAAATGAGATACTTCCATAAAAAAAGGAAGATTATAGCACTCTGAAAACTCTGATATCTCAGGACCCCAAAACCAAGAAAGTGAGGAAGGTGGTCCAACAGAAAACTGTTTCTGGAAAAGTATGTATGACTGAAGCAAAGATTTAAAATCTGAACCATCATCAAGGACAGAGGAAGAGCTTGAAGACTGGATAAACAGTCTGCTTTCCTAAAGGGGAAGAAATGCCTGAGTTATCACAACTGACTTGGTACTTATGGGTCCATTAAAAAAGTGAAATACAGTACAAGATGACTGTCCAGGAAGAGCTATCTATAAGCATACCCCACATCGGTGTTCCAGCATGGTTACTTCAGTTTGCTTAATTATAGATAACAATGGATATAATAAAAATCAAGAAGCTTATTCTAATCAATAATTCTTTTTAGCCTAGAATTCTAATAATATGACTTTCTTAAGAATGTTGCCCCCCCATACACTTTGTATTCCACAACTGTAAATAGCAAGATCCAGGTTCCATCCAGTCTTTAGTGTTGGTTTATAGGAAATCAGGTGCTACAAAACAGGAGGTGCCAAGAATAAGGCATGATTATTGATGTATGCCTTGGGAAGGGGATTATAAATGCTGGCAAAAATTAAATTAAATTAAATTAAAAAGAAAAAAGAAATTAAAGTTTACTAATATATAGTATATGAATTGACTTTAATGTCCCTACTTGAGCCATATGCCATATGGTTAGTTATCTCTAATCTACAATGCACAGAGTAGCTTGAAGGAAGAGTGGGAGATTTTAACACTAAAGAGTTAACAGGAATGTTCTCAATCAGTTATTGACTTACCACATATTGTGATGTATTCTTGTATCTCAATGGTATGTCAATATATATAAAAATGAAGCATGTTCAATAATGGCTTGATAATATTTTAGTGAGAGCAAAAAGAATTTTGAACCATTAATAAATAAATTTTAAAATACACTTATTTCAGCTTTGATCTTTAAAATTTCAAATTTCCTGTTTAATAACATATAATATACCAGCACAGTAGTACATTATATAATTTATAAATAAATAAACATATGTTGGGATACCTGCAGAATTTTTTTTTCTCATGGATTATGCAGTTATAAAAGTTTGGAAGTCACTGCACTGGAGAATTGTTTAACAAGTTTTAGGTAACACAATAGGTTAATGAAGTTCAATTCATATGCCTAACATTGTAATCTTTTTTCCAATAACTTCATTGTCTTTTTGTTTCTTGATTTTCAATGTTCTTTGACCTTCTAACAGAAAGATAGTAAAGTCTTGATTCTATGTTTTAATCAAATGAAGTAGGAAGTTTGTAATGGATAACATACATATGCATGCATATATATATATATATATATACACATATATACACACATATACATAGATATATGTCATTTAATTCCCTTTTCATATATAGTTATGCTTTGCCAATAATGGTAGCAAAGTCTGAGAATTGCCCATGAACAATTATTTTATTAGAACTGTAATTTTTTATAATGAATAAGACTAAATCATTGCTTTTTAGCTTGCTATTATTTGTCTTTCTGTTGCCTTAAAATACAAGAATGTATGTTTTCACCACTACTAAGCCCTATATAGTTACAGAAAATTCCACCCAAAAGAATTTGAATGTTAATAGCCTTCTCATTTGCTTTAAGAGGTAATTGTAGACTTTTTCCCCAAAAAGAAATTATTTTCTACCTACATGTTAAACGATATAGATTATCAACTGCAAAGTACTTTACTACTATGCTATTAAAACAACAACTAGATAAGAACTAATATGGTCTTTTAAATGTTTTCCAGAGTTCAGTGTGTCCTAAAGGCTTAATTGTATTCTTAGGGAGGAGTGGGAATTTTTACTCTTGCAGGGAAAACAACAAATATGGAGATAATAATCAAAAGAATGACCAAAAGAGTTTTCAAAGAAATCAGCTTGATGTATTTGATAGCTTTTCCGTGTGCTTGCTAAATCCCCAAGCTAAAATCTGGTTTAGTTGCAAGAGTATTTAAATTTTGAAGAAATGACTTTGTATTCTGACTCTCTCCATTACTATGAGCAAATTTGGCGCAGTTACTTCCATTCTGTGGGATTGAGTTAATTCAACTATAAAATAAAGGGATTAAGCAAAGTAATCTCTCAAGATCTTTTAATATATCTGTAGAAATACGAATAAAGTTTCTGTTCATGAGTTGGTCCTGACATAGGATTACAGTAGAATCAAAAGAGCAATGCTAGAACTTTCCAACTCACCAGTATCAGAAAGTGAACAGAAAAACTTGCAGGATTTGATATGTGATTCAAAACCTACCTTTTCCCTAAATTAACCCCTGCCCCCAACCCCATTACACCCTTGATTTGCAGGTTTTGCTACCTCAGTCAGTGTGCCAAGCTAATTAACCATTCCCAGGAAAGATGAAAAACAATTAACTGTAGGAGAGGAATAAATCCTAGGGGTAACTTTGAACCCTCAGTCTTTAAGCCATTTTTTCTTCTTTTCAGTCTCTTGTAGACACAATAAAAACAATCCACAAAACAAAGCTATATACACTGTTGGGTTACCTAGTGCTTGCTAAGTGATTTTTAACAATTTTTTGAAAATTTCTGATAATTTTTTTTCAAAGTGAATAAGTTTTAATGTGCCCCCAAATCAGCATTATAAACCTCCCAAAGAGGAGATACTTAAGTACATCTTTAGCTTTTGGTATGCCATTTATAATGTTGCATCTAGTCACGAACAGGGAAGAAACCAACTCACCTCTTTTATCTTCCTGGTAATCTGAGTGGAAAATATCGAAGGGAGCAGCCCTCCGGCTTCCTAGACCCCCAGCACTGAGTTTTAGCCCTTCGGCAGTCCCTACTCCAACCCCTGCTGCCGAGGAAACCTCCGAGTCCACGCAGCCTCCAGCTCCGCGACTGCCAGTGGCCTGCCCAGGATAGAGCAGCCTCTGCAGCCCACGGGCTTCACTCTCCTCCTGAGCCTGTTGCCTGCGGAGCGCAACTTGCGCGGCCATCACTCGCTGGCGCTCAGCGATCAGAGTGCACTTGGCGCAGGCACAGTCCCTCCAACGACAGAAACGCTTGTGGCCCTTGAGCGCAGACACCACCCCGTGGTTGCGGCAGCGGGCGCACTTGGGTGTCCGCGGGTAGACCCCGCAGCCCAAGGCCCCAACCCCCCTCTGCAGCCCCGCAGCAGAGGGACAAGCTCCACTCCCGGCGGCCGCCACTGCTGCCGCCCGCAAGAACAGGCTGGGGGGCCGGAGGAAAGCTGGAGGGATGGCTACCCCAGAGGCCATGGACAGCGAAGAGGAAGAGGCCGCTGGAGATGGGGCCGCCAGCCCTGAGGACAAGGTCTGTCTGCTAGAGTCATTGCTGCTCCCGTTGGCAGCCTCCATCCCAGGGACGTTACGGTGGGACAGAATACAAGAAGTCAGGAAGGTCAACTTTCTTGGTGCTGCCCACAACCAGCCCCTCCTAAAGTTGAAGAAGGGAAGTACAGTCAGGCACTTAAGCAGGGTTACCCCTGATCCAGCCAGAAACAAAGTTGTCGGTCCTTTCCGTAATTAAGTCTGGGACAGCAGCTTCAGAAGCAGGAAAGTGGAACAACTGCAGCTACCAGGACTGTCTCCTTTTGCCTTGTGCTCTCTTTCGTCTCCTGGTGCCACTAAAGGTCTCAAGAGGAAACGGTAGCCTCCGTTGAAGGGCGCACCACGCCCACCCCCAATCACCTTGAAAGGCTGTGAGACTTAGAGAGGGCTTGGGGCTGAAAGCGAAGACCAATGTGGGTTTGGGGGCGGTGCTGGAAAGGGAATTGGAGGTGGTGAATAATGAATGGAGCGCAAAAGCCCAATCCCCACCTCAGTATCTTTTCTTTCTGTTGTCACTTCGGGAATTTCTAAAAGATTCTTTTGTAACATGACTATACACACCCCCAACCCACCCTAATACACATATTCAGATAGAGGCGCCTTCCTCTTGTGTAAGAACTTTTCCAATCTCAGGAGTACTCAGAGCAAGTTTACATGATTTCACTTTCTTTGATATGACTGTATTTCCTTTAAATCTGAGTATCTCCTTTGCTCAGGTTAAACATTCACATGATTTTTTGTTTTTTCGTTGTTTGTTTGTTTTTTGATTCAGTCCTTTAATGCATGGATACTCACAGAATCTTATATTGGCCTTCCCCAGTTAATGCTGTCCCCCACGCCATCTCCTTAAAAGAAAAAAAAAAGTTATTTCATAGAAGTTAATTGATGAGGAAAATCCTGCTACCCCCTCAGCATGGACCTTCCCTACTTTTTCTTCCCTGAGAATGCTCCTTTCCTCATTCACCCCCTTTGACTGTATCCGCTGTCAAATTGGTTCAAATGCACCAGTTTTTTCTTTTTTTTAGTGGGAGAAAACCTTGAAACATAAACTATCTCCAGTTGAAGCAAAACCTGTGCACAATACTGCTGTGAGCGTATACCATTAACTCTGCTTTGCTTTAAAGAATTAAAGTCTCTTCTAAGCAGTCCTTGTTTCTCTTCCCATCCCAGGACCTTCTATAACCTTAACACTTGGAGTTGCTATCCTTAATTGCTAGGCAAGATCATTTCGCTCTTTAACTCCTGCCAACATATGCCTATCTCTAAACAAAAAAGTTTAGTAACAATGCAGTTGTGGGTATAGAGATAGGTAGATTGATAGATGACAGATAGATGATAGATAAATATATAGATACAAATACAGAGTAGTTTTGTTCCCTTTATGTTAAATTTAATAGGGGCAGCTAGGTGGCGCAGTGGATCGAGCACCGGCCTTGGAGTCAGCAGAACCTGAGTTCAAATGTGACCTCAAACACATAACACTCACTAGGTGTGCAACAGGTGGGCAAGTCACTTATTCCCAATTGCCTCACTAAAAAAAAAAATTATAACAATATACACTTTTAAAACACTCTACATAGTAAGAGTTCAGTTTTATATGACATCTTTATCTTTGCCTACTATTTTTTATACATCACAATGTTTGCATTTTGTTTTAAATATTAAACTACCTTCCCAGGATCACATTGATAGCTGATATCAAATTTAGGACACCCTTCACCCCCCCAAAAAAAATAGTTGGACTCATGGTACAGTGTTCTTTCCACATTACAATGTCATTCAAAAAACTAACAGGAACATGATTATTCTAACTATTTTTCTGATGACTTAATCTCTTAAATTGGCACAATATGGGTCATTCTCATTAGAATATTTAATGATGGAATGATTCACATAGCAATCAGTTATAACTTTTTCTTGTATGCAACAGAGACTCCTTCCATTTGAATTAATAATAACAACAGGTCTATTTGGGCAAGTGGTTCTACAGATTAGATTTAAACTGATAAAATAACATTCCCCCACACCATCTTTAAAAAAAAAAAAAAGGCCCTCATAGGGTATAGTTGGAGAGAGTTGAAACAAATCATCATAAATGTTCTAGGCACTGTAATAGACTATAATGACTTCTTGAATAAATTATATAGTCTATTGTATAACTGTTAATTTAAACAATTCTTTTGAAAGGAGTAGAGTTGACTTAAATGACAATAAGGGGAGACTTTGCTATTATGTTTAATTGCATAAATACACTGGCTGCATTTAACACATTTACAAAAAGCATATCCTTGATTCCACTTACTTTAGTGAATCATGGTAGAGTTGCATCTGCCATATCAATATGCACTCAGTACATGTAAATTTTGTATTATTGTGTATAATTTGTTGGATGTTTAAGGTAAATTTACATGTATATGTATATGTTGAACTGAGATAAACTTTTTGAGTTGTAGTTATCCTGAGAACTCTCCTCTTGAAATAATTGGGCAGTATATTGGGAAAAAAAATGGAATGCAGGCCTACACGAAACATATACAGAGTGAGCAAGAGTTAGTATGATAAATTGTTTCAGACTGAACAAAATAAATCAAACTTTAAAGCATTTTATAAGATACACAATTAAATTATTACTATTTAATTTTGTCCATAACTACTATACTCATCTAAATGTGAATATAAATGGAATGCAATTAAGTGTAAGAACCAATAAATGTATTTTATCAAAAATTATATAATTTTAAAGTCCTGAAACACAGATATATGCATATAATACAGACAGGTAATGTTGTTTACCACTATGCCCAAAGGTCCTTCAACTACATAAATATAAGCCCTAAAATGCCTGTGCCTGAACTGGCTTGTAGAAAAGTAGGAAGCCTCTCAATATAAAAACACACACACACACAAAAAAACACCTCTTTCAGATAGATAGAAAAACAGATACATATATACATACACATACATATACACATAATAGCATATTAGTTTTTATAAAACATAATTTTTATATCAGAAAATTCCTCACACCATTATGTGAAAGTGTTATTTTGAGATCAGTCAACTCATATGTTATTGTAATGGGGCCTTGGAGCATTCCCAGATAGCCTTACATGGAGGCACTCTGCTTTTCTGTGTTCTCCTAAAGCTGAGGTGGGAACAGATTCCTTCACTGGGCTATGTAGAGTGAATAGACTGGCCTTATAAAACTGTCAGCCTGTGATAGTATCTTTTTTCTCCCCTGAATACAAAGGGTAAACATTGCACACCATTCACATATGGAGCTGGTACCATAAGCTGAATTGGGAAGGGAGGTTCCTTCCCTCCTCTCCTTCTTTTGGATGCTGTAGTTTGAGATATTTCTGTTTCTGTGCTACTTCATTCGCCTTTCTCAACAGTAATCCCCACCAAGCCCAAACCATGACAACCCTGAAGAAGGAATCCACTCAGGATGTTGTAGTCAGCCCATCAAGAAAGTCCTGAGAACCTAGGGTAACTGGAACTTGTGACCAAGGGAGTTTTTGAATTTGGAACTGGGACTGTACCATATAGGAACTGAGCTAAACTGAGAACCTGATCTCCTTTGCCTTCCCAAAGTCTGAGGTGGCATGAGAGCAAGGAATAAATTATGTCCCCCCATGTGTTGTACAGATAGAGAGATAGATATAGACAGAGCCATTCTAGTATGCCTTTGAAGTAAAAGGCATATTTTATGAAAGCTAGACAGATTTAGTGACTGTATGGAAACTGGAGCACAGGGGATCCATACCCTATAATTGAGAGAATCATTACTGGGGGCTGAAGCCATTGGTAGAAAACCTAATTAACCCTAATCCCCTTTGACAATACTTGAGAACCCTGGCAGAACGGTTAAATAAAACATACCTGGCCAGCAGACATTGAAGGCTGGGCTAGTCAGTGTTACATTTTAATGAAATTTCAAAGCTTCTACTTAACAGTACCATAACCAGATAATACCAACTGGACCTGAGGTATTGACAGTGGCAAGTGAGTGGAAGGAGCTCATAACAGTAATAGAAGTAAAACTTTTTATACCTTGTCCAGAGTTCATACATGTCTTGGTTTCCCTTGAACGTCCATGTACATGTCCTAACCAGTACCTTCAATATTGTCCCCAGATTCTAAGACACCTTTGATTTTATTATCTACTCCCTAGTAGCTTGTGAAGAAGGGCTAAGTATATAGCACAGAAGTGTACCATAGAGTAAGAAAATATGGTTGAGAAGATAGTCATAGTCTAGACTCAAAATAGTAAGCAGTAATATGGTATAATATGCTCTGGATAAAATTATTAACTGTTATTCTAGAGATATTTGAATAGTTGTGATACACAGAGAATAATACTGACTCCTAAGAGAGCAGGGAGACTTTCAGGAAAATGATATGAGAAGTTAAGAATGATGATCAGAAGGGCTTAATCATCATATACAAGTGGGTATTTTTGGCAGCACAAATACATTTTAGGTATTTGTACATAATCCTTTAGATTGGGATAGACAGGTGTAAAGTTATTCATTTATTTATTCAACTATTAATGTGTCTAGTATATGCAATGCATCATGTTAGGCACTGAGTGAGAAGGAAAACGCAAAGCATAAAGCATTTATTAAGCCCCTACTATGTATTAGGCACCGTGGTAAGCTCTGGAGATACAAATAGTAGCAAAAAAGCAAGTCCCTGCCTACAAGTAGCTTATATTTTAATGGTGAAAGAAAGCATACAAAAGAGAACTGAAAGGAGGAGGAGGAAGGTACCTGTAAATAGAAGCATGGCTTCAAAGTCCTGAGGTCCAGAAAGTAAAATGCAGAACCAGGAGAAAAATGAAATCTGTTCAGCCTAAACTCCTCCCCAAAATGGAGACCCTGACAGGAATTCACCAGTGGATATTCCAGGGTTAGGATACTGTAGGGTCTGAGAGAAGTTCCAATGTGAGACAGTAGCTGAGATAAGATTAATAAAATCCAGAAAGTCAGAAGCATAGCTGAGAGGGAAACAAATTGAGGGGGAAAAAAATGGAAGCTAAGAATGATGGTGAAGATACAATACGAATTACAATTCTCTGGATTATCTATTTTTGCTTCACTGGCTTTTAAGGTACTGTACCCTCATTGATTTTTATTGCTAATCGATATGTGAATTAAGTTCAAACTAAGTCATTGGCAGGTGCTTCATTTTATCCACATTTCCCCCCCTCCTTAGCTTTTTTCCATGGTAGTGAGTTACTTCATGTGAATTGGAACTGCAGTCTTTCATTCCCAAACTACTCCTTAGCTAGAAGTCATGAAGGTAGGGGTTGGAGGAAGCAATGGGAACAATGCTTTCTCTTCTGATTTTCCCATTCCTTCAAACTCTGAACATATCCCAAAACTTTATCTCTCCATACCCTGGGTATAACTCATTCTCTCCTCTTCACAGATTCTCTGTGGAGAATTTCCCAGAGGATGTATACAAGAGTCACAAAGAATGAAAAGGTGTAGATAAATTGTAATATGC